TGGAGGGCCCCGCCGGGGACGGCGGCCCCGGCCCCCAGCCTGCCCCCGCTCTGCCACGCTGCCTGCTTCCCCCCGCGAGCCCCCGTGCCACACGAGCCGGCCGCGATGCCACCAGCGCGCTTCCCCGGCTCCCAGCCAGCCCCGGCGGCTGCTCTCAGACAAAGAAAACAAATTTTTCTTTTTTTTTTAACTATTTTTGTTACCATCCTACCCGATGCTGGTCATACATCGCTTAAAGAAATAAAAAATAAAGTAAGGGTTTTCCTGTATAAATCAAATGATTTTTTTTGCTTTTTTTTTTTTTTTTTTTTTTACATACAGCATAAATGCTTGTACTATGGGAACTTTTGCTATTTAAGCTTTCAGAACACCAGAGCAGTCTTTTCATGTAAAAGTGCTTTGATTTTCTTAATAAAGATACCCACAGTCACATTCTTACATCACCTTTCTTACCTTGTCTATTAGCCTATTATGACATGGCACTGACTGGAAGGCCCTATTAATCATCGGGGGAATTATGCATCATTTATGCATTGAATGTTTTGTCCAGTAGACAACTTTACCTCAAGTCCCGTCAGGTGCGCAATCCCACGCCCGGGGAGCCAGCTCGGAAACCTTGGGCCGCCCAACCGACCCTGCCCCTTTCCAGCCCGTTATCGCAGGCTGCCAGGCAATTTTGGTCAGAGCGCCTCCGACTTCCACCTCCCTCATCTCAGCGGTCCCATCTCACAGCCACGCTGGGAGGACGAAGCTGCTCCTAGGAGTTGCCGAGGAGCAGCTTTGAAGAAGCTGTAAGAAAGTGGATAGATCTTCCTGCGTTTCAGAGCGGGGTTTAATTGCACGTGGTAAACAACGGGCAGGGTCACGCACTTCGTACAAGGCATGAAATCACGATGAAGTGGTTGGTGGCTTTGGCAAAGGCAGAAGAAGAACCAGTAGCCGGGCGGGTGTGCCGGGGCAGGCGAGATGCCCAGCCCCACCTCCGGCGCTGCCCTGTCTTAAACCCAGCGTCTCCGCAAGGGAAATCCTACATTTATCACCAAAAGGAAAAGGAACCTGTGCAGCGCGACGCGGTTACTCCTCCCGGGATCAGACCTCGCTGTGACAGCACGGGTTAAAGCCCATGCTGGTGGTGCCCCTCAAAGCAGAGCAGCCCTTACACTGACCACGGACCGGGAGGGGAGTCCTCGCTGGCAGGGAGGGACGGTGACATTCAGGTTCTGGTCTAGATGTTAGTTAGAGACGTGTTCTACGGGGAAAAGGTTTCTATTTCTATGCGTGACCCATCCCACCCCACGTGAACAAGCCCATCTCTCTCTCCCCCTCCACCTGTGGCTCCTGCCCTGCTCCATCCCAGGCGTCAGCCCACTGCCTCCCACCACCCTGCTCCATCCGCCTCCCTGCGCTCCAAGGACCACCCAAAACTCCCGTGTCAGTTCTGTCCCCACCGTATCAGTTCTCCCCTCTTGGAGCTGACAGCGAGGGCACCTCCCCTGGTACCACTCATCTTGCATAGCTCCCTGGAAGTAACCTCCTGTCTCAAATTATGCTTTGGGGTACAAAAGCACAGGCTGGGGAAACAGCTCTAGGGTTTCGCCTTCACCCACACGCAGAGACGACCCGGCATTCCGGCACCAAGAACGCCGAGTTCCCGCCGGGGTTTGAGCAGGCAGCTCACAGCGGCGTTCCCCGTAGCGCACCCCGCCGTCACACCCTCGCCACTGACAACCTGCAGCCAGGCAGGGACAGCAGGGTTACACAGAACAAACGACAGCGTTTGCCACCCTACGAGATCTCTACCTCCCTGCCAGCGACCCCGAGAGCTCCCGTCTCAGCTCTGGGGCCGAATCTCCTCCAGCCTTTGGTGAGCGAAGTCTGGGCAGCGCTGGTGTCCCTGGCACAGGCTGACGGCAGGACTCCCTGGACCGCCTGGGGCACAGCGGGTGAGAGCGTCTCCTGCTCCAGCGGCCCTACACCGTGCAAGAGGACGGCTGAGAGGGGTGACACTTCGGGGACGGACCTTCTGACACAGGGACTAGGCTAGACAGCAGCCCGAGGGCAATTGTCTTCTCCACTGCGGTAATCAGATTGTGCAAGACGGCCATCAGAGACAGCAGGAAAAGCTTTGTGCCTTCAGGCTGCATCTGCTGACGGAGGTCCTGAACCTCGAGCCAAACTCCACGCTACAAGCACCGCAGAGAAACAGCAAAGCAGCAGACGCAGAAGTCACCACACCACCGGATCGCTGCTGCGCCTTGCTTCGTACGCTCCTGTTCATTTACACACACGCAAGACAAGGACAGAGCAGTTATGATAATTTACATTTTAATCAGCCAAATATACAAGTTCAGTTGTTGTTGTTTTTTAAACTTTATCAAGTTTGTTTCCATCTGGGTCTGATACAATTAATGTTGTTGTTTTTTTCCTTTAAACAAAGGATGATGTGGTTAAAAACTGGCACTATCCCTAAAAAAGAGAAAAAAAAAAAAAAAAAAAAAATGAAGAGGAGGGAAAAGGGGAGACTGGCTGCGAGAAAGGAGGGATGAAACCGGGAAGGAACGGCACTCCAGATGTCCATGAAGTCAGGCTCCCAGATTATGCTGCAACACCCTGCAGCAAAATTTTACGGGCCGTTTGCCCAAAGGGATTCCTCAGATACGTTATCCTTTGGGCTTTCACTAGCAAGTCAAAGTTCCCCACCCCATGCCCCACCCCACAATGACCCCACAATCTATCTTCTTGCAATCTAATATTTGAAGCATCTCCCCTCCCGCACAGCTCCCTCCCGCCCTGCCCCCTGTCTATGAGTTCTTAATCCTAAAAACAGCAAAAACATTCAGGCTTCCCAACTGTTACAGAGAATTGCTGTTCAGCACAGTTCTGCACCAAAGGTAGCAGCTGCCCCTAACCCCAAATGGAAATCTGTGCCGGGATGAAGACAAACACATCGTCAGTGTCTCTTGGAGGTGAAGGTGACTTCGATGCCGCAGTGCACCCTACGTGGCATCGATGGTATGCAACACGGCAGAGTTCCCGGCAGGCACCAGGCACAGTTCCCTGGCGTTTCCTCCTCTTGCATGTCCTGTGCTTACTTGTTAAGGGATAGTGACTGCAGTCTTTTACCTGCCATGGCCGCTTCGTCTTTTGCTGGGGGAGGAAAAGAACAGGGGTTTCATCATTTCACAGAGCACGTCAGGGACTGGTGGTGGCTTGACAGCCCCCGAGACCGAAATCCTGCTAGCCACGTGCAGCGAGGTAACAGGAAAAAATCCAACCCTCCCCGCCAATCCCTGGCAGGTGCCCTCCAGAGTTCAGAGGAGCAGCTCCCCTTGCACGTTCCCCTCTGTCCTCGGCCTCTCTTCAGGCGTCCACAAATTACCCCGATGCTGATGCACAGGTTTCTCAGTGGAAGCCACCGAGAAGACATGCTGATCAGACTTCTGGTTCACACCTGGCAGAGCTGAAGAGAAAGTCCAGGCAGGGGAGGAGCGCTGCAAATTCCCTGGGCAGTCTGGATCCCCGGCATGCAAAGCAGATACATCACAGCCAGCGCAAGGAACTCGCTAAACCCCCGAACCGGAGCAAGCACCGCTTGGGAGGCTGAGGACAATATGGATATCAAGGGCGATTCCCAAAAAAAACCTGTTCAGATGTCCTAGAGCTTTATAAAGCAAGAGCTTTGTAAGAATGAAACCGCTGAACCTGGCTTTGACGAGAGAAGCTGTAACGGCACTCAGCAACACCACGCAGTGGCAGGAGATGAGGGATTACCCTGCGTGATAGGAGAAATCACGCCTCTGCGCAGTACAGCCATTGCAAAGAGAAGTAAGGGGATACGATTAATTACTCTCTAACCTTTTCTTTCTTCTTCTTTCTTTCTGGCAGCTTCTTCCCTTTGCTTCCGAATGATGGCTAGTCGGGCGAGATCTGCCTTCGCTTGTTCTGTTTTGCCAGCTAGGTGCATTTTCATGTATCTTTCTTTTGCCTTTTGTTTCTCTATTTCCTCTCTGTTTGGGTGAAACACACCAGTCGTCAGAGTATCCAAGTCAGCACGCAGATACAGGCAGAGAGGGGGAGGCTCGCTGACCGGGAGGGACGGTGGGGACGGGGACGGATTGCCCACAGAGACTGGGGGGGCCCTGTCACCAGTTTTCGAGCGCGGGTCCTGTCTATTGCAGGGTTTGTACGGGGACAGTGAGAGAGATTATTTCTGCCTCCGTTCCGCTAAGTAAGGACACTGACACACAATGAGGTCAAATGAATCGGCCCCAGAGCGCACAGCACCACGACGCCTTACCCTCACAAAGGCGTACTGCTGCTGAAGCAATCTATCCCAAATAAGCAAGCTTAAATTTTTCCACTCTGAAACTCTCCATTGCTAAATGAAACTAGAAGATTAAACTTTGGTTCTCATCTCATTCACCCGCTCAGACAAAAATTTCACCATGACCCCTGGAATCTGGGAAACCACTGCCTGTCACTAGGGCACCTTCTGCAGCAAGATTAAAGCGGACCCCAAGGTGACCTCTGGTTAATGGATTTCAGTTAGGTCTGATTTTTGGCATAAGACTTCAGGAAAGGAATGGTCTACATCTGCTTCACAGCAACAAACTTCACTCTCTCAGTGCACCTGGCTCCAGGATGGCCACAGCTACTCCCAGAGGACAGACAACTTCGGTAAAGTTTGTACGGAAAGACATTTTGAACCACAGCGAGTCCTGCCCGACAGTTTGCTGCCGCTCAGTGTCCGCTTTAGAGGGCAACACACTCAAAGGGCTTCCCTGAAACACCAACGCGTACGCAGCAGGGAAACATCTCCCCGCGTTAGGCTGCTGCCACCAGCAAGGATGAAATTCCAGGAACGCGCTAGCTCCCGCCCAGGCAGCAGGGAAGACTCACCGCTCTCGTCGCGAGAGTTCCTTAGGTCCATCCAGGTCCAGCTGAGTTACTTTTTTGGTTGTCTGAATTACGCGATTGGGATTCTCTATGTCTATCAACCCTTCCACTCCTTTGCGCTTTTGCTAAGGTTCAAGAACAAGAGGGAGGTTAAGAAGCTCTCTCATACCCAACATCGTGCTGTATCAGAGCGCATCAAATACACTGCCACACACCCCGAAAGCAGAATTCAAGGTGTTTTCACTACCAGACAGCAAAACCATTTATGAACCAAGATTCATGCTACCAGGCATCTTCAGCCTTTTTTGAAATATTCTTGCCTTTGTATTTCCCTTATAAAAACACACGAGTTTTCATTCTGAGGACAAAATGCAATCAAGTAAGGGGTTTTTTTGGCTTCTAAAAATAGTCCTTCCATAAAAAATTTACTATCGGTAGCTCCCAAAGAGAACTTGGAGTCAAGAGCGAGCATCTCTCTCCTGCCCCAAGAATCTGGGTAGTGCAAATGCATTAAGTGCCCTGAGAATTAACAGGATTACAGAATTACCTGATAATCCTCGTCATCTTCATCACTCTCATCTGAATCTAAAGACTTCTTCTCCTTTTTGGGGTCCCCTGTTGCTCCTTCGCCTCCTTCTTCTTGCTCCTCTTCTTCCTACAAAATCACAGGAAATCGAAGAGAAAATGTACGTCAATAAAAATCCCAAATCCAACAGCGACTCTTACATGAGATCACTTTGGAGGGACAAGAGACAGCTCTCAGAGCACTAGCGTTCCTGGCGTGGCCCTTATGACACCAAAGGTGCCTGCTGTTACAAAACAAGAGCTCATTCTCAGCGCATCACCTGCCCCGGCAGATCACCTCTAAACAACTCTGCTGTTCTCTCTGTGTAACAGGCCAGGAAAATTATTGTAAAAGACGGAACTGGCATTTTACTTTCCCCAAATGAAAGATCTCCAAGAGACATTTTGGCCCGGGTTTCCAGTGCGCAATATCTCAGGGACTGGAAACTGCATGGGTGTAGTGTAGCGGATCCCACCCTAGAGCTAGATAAAAACAAAACCAGAGCAGAGCAAATTGACAACCATCAACCAGAACATTATTATCCAAGAAATCACAGCCTTTTTGGCACAGCTTTTATCAGTCATGAAGTCTAGGAATTAACTTGTAAACCAGCAGAAGAACCAACATGGGTGTGAATAGCTTGCTTTACCATCGCCAAACATCCCTCATCAGAGCAACTGGCAAAGTGGATGAGCTACGGGCAGTAAGAGGACTAATTTTGTTAATTCTTTTTTTTTTTTTTAAGCTTTCCCCAACAAAATAGCGTCAGCTGTAACCATCGCTACGTGAAACCCTTCTCAAAGAGCAGTTCTCCGGTTTGTTTTGAAACAAGACAGACATTTCAAGTGGGGTCCTGCTTGCTCTGTTCCATTTCCAGGCGGTATGTTTATTAACAACTCGGAAGTAGAGAACACTTATAAAGTTTGCGAACGACATCGCACTGGTAGGGGTTGGAATCATTTTGGAAAACAGGATAAGTGGTTTCAGAATTTGGAAAGACGGCACGAAACCAAGAAGGTGGAATCAGAACACAAACCAAGAGGAGTTATACTTCGGAAGCAGAAATCCAACGCAACGTCAGAATATGTGGCTAAGCAGCAAACCACACAATCATCTTGCGTTACAGCTGGTCAAAACATTAAGAGGGAGTCAACAATATGGCTCATAACTGCTTGAAAGAGTAATCTTCTTCCGGGAGGTATTCATCAGTATTTCCTATATGGGGTATAATTATCCTACTGCAGTCAGTGCTGTGAGGCTTCAGCTGGAATAGTGTATTTGGGCTTAGGCAGCACTTTCAGAAAGTCACAGAAAAATAGCAGTGGGAGTGCCATCGTAGCTGTGATAATTTGGGAATACAAGACAGCAAATACCGCAAAAAGTAGCCATGCCTTTTATAATACCAGTCAGGTAGGTGTGGAAGGGAGGGGAGCTGTTACAATCCTATGTCGGGGCACAGAAACACGCCCAAAAAAGGACTCACGCCAGAAAACTCTGTTACCTCTCCCTGCAAGTCAGAGGCAAGCAAGAAAATAATGTGTACAGGAATTTGGTCTTTTAAATCTAGAAGAGAAAGAGGGCAA